ATGGAATAACTATAGTTGGAAGCGGAGCACCATCAACTATTTCACTCAATTGTCCAAATGGAATTACATTGGATGCCAATGGTTATCTCTTCATTGTGGATCAAAACAATCAACGAGTTGTTGGATCAGGACCATATGGTTTTCGATGTATATTCGGATGTATAAGTGTTACTGGTTCAGCATCTAATCAATTCTATTATCCACGAAGTCTTAGCTTTGATAGCTATGGAAATCTTTTCATCGTTGATCAATATAATTCAAGAATTCAAAAATTCATTATGGCGTCAAATTCTTGTAGTAAGTTATTTTTAATTTATGTTTTCGATGACACACATTTGTCTATTTTAGGTCTTTCTTATAATCAACCAACATTTTGTTCTAATGCTTTATGGTATTCTAATGCGTCAACTTTTGCATCGAATAGTACAATTGGTTCATTACCTTATGGTATTTTTATTAATGGAATTAATACTGTGTATGTACCTAATCGAGTTAGTAACACTATTTTATCATGGCCACAAGGAAGTAATACATCAACAAGCAATAGTTATAGTAATTTGAGTAATCCATATAGTCTTTTTATGTCTATGGCTGGTGATATTTATATTGATAATGGTTATTCATATGGTCGAGTGGATAAATATACATTTAATACATCAAATCGTGTTACTGTTATGAATGTTAATGGAAGTTGTTATGGTTTATTTATTGATATTAGTGATAATCTGTATTGTTCACTTAAAACTCTTCATCAAGTTGTTAAACTCTTACTTAATAATGGTACAACCATTCCAACGATTGCAGCCGGAAATGGTTCTGCAGGATCATTATCAAATATGCTTAATTCTCCACAAGGAATCTATGTTGATAGTAATTTAAATCTATATATTGCAGACAGTGCTAACAATCGTATTCAATTCGTTCGAACTGGCCAATTAAATGGAGTGGCAGTCGTTGGTAATGGTTCATCGACAAATATTATACTTAATTACCCAACTGGAATTGTCCTTGATGCTAATGGTTATCTTTTTATTGTCGATAGTTATAATCATCGTATTGTTGGTTCAAGTTCTTCTGGTTTTCGATGTATAGTAGGATGTTCGGGAGGTGGTTCAACTGCATCTCAATTATCTTTTCCACAAAGCATGGCTTTTGATAGCTATGGAAATATATATGTTACTGATCGAAATAATAGTCGAGTGCAACAATTCGCTCTTCAAACTAACAATTGCAGTAAGTTATTTTTATATAATGAGACATTATGAAATTGTAGTTGATAATTATTTTTTT